ACTCATATTTGAGTACAAACTGCTCAGATTTTGACGAAGTCTCCTCGAAAAAATGTTTTCCCCTTCATTCCTTGAAAATCTGAGCAGTTTTTCCTCAAATAACAAAACATTTGTTTTTTTACCGTGAGCCCGAAGTGAGCAGAAGGCTCAAGGGGCCGGTCTCTCCGCCTCGCCCGCCACGGCCGCGCTCGCAGAGGCGTCGTCCCCGGGCCTCCCTCAATCAGGAGCGACGAGACGTCCCCCAGGAGGAGCCCTGCCCTGCACGGGGGACGCACGACCGCCCCAAGGCCGCTGGGGTTGCTCGCTTCTGCTCACTCGGCTGGGCGCGCGCGCTCGGCGCGGGCCTTAGGGGTGGCACGATCAATGCTTTGCCGTGCAGGCGGCGGCCAGGGGGCGGAGGAGGACCTGCGGGTGGGGCGGAGCGGGGCGGGCCAAACTGTTGCGTACTGCCGCTCGCTCTGAATGAACGGTCCGACGCCGAACTGGCCCGCCGCCGGCCTGGGGGGGCTGTCCGGCTGCACAAGCCGTAGTAAAAATATATTTCGGCGAGGCGGCGGCGGCGGCCCGGCAGATAAGGGAGGGAGTTGCACCTGCTGCTGTCCCACCTGGCTGAGGGGGTGGACAGGGGCGGTGCCAGTACACACAAATAACCACTCAAGCTCGCAATCCGTCTCTTTTGAAGTGCCCCCCTTGCTTTGACTGCGTCCTCCTCAAATATATACTCACGTCTTCATCTCGCTGGGCCGCTGCTTGAGCGGGTTGAAGCACTTCCCGAGGACGCGGTCTGCAACACCAGAAACAAACACAAGGTCTCAATCAGAAAGGCAAAGCAGCAGGGATCAGAAGGAGGAGGGGGAGAGGAGGGGGAAGGGGGAAGGGGGAAGGGGCACATCAAAGAGCAGGGCCGACGACGTGCCGGCAAACTAGCAGCGGCGGCTCGGCCGGCATCCGGGACTGGAGCGGGGCAAGGCCTCATCACATAACCAACCACGGCAAAAACTCGGGCAAAAATGTGCGGCGCGGTGGCGGTAGACCGAGAGAGAGTGGAAACGGGAAACGTTACACTCAGCACGTAGTGAGGTATGTTTTCGACATCGTTTCGACATATCGGTTCTCACATCGTCAGCGATACGAAACCATATTTCAAGGTGCTCCATGAGCCAACCATACGATGGTTGCCATGGCTAATAATTTTTCGATGTGGTTGACTATCAAAAAGCCGCGTCGATTTGCAGGCCAGCAACCCGCACTTCCGTATCGCTAGTGACCCGAAGTCGGAACGATATCAGTGTAAAACATTTCTCACTTTGGGGAGTGAGCGGAGCGGCGCTAACGAAAGGTCATGACAGCAGCAGCAGCAGCAGCAGCAGCGGCCGCGCGCGGCTGCGAGTCACATTCAGATGTCACATCCTGTGCGTCCGGGTGCGGGGGCGCGGCCCGAGCCGGGCGCAAAACCGCAACAGATTGGATTCTGCGGATAGAGCGCACGCGTGTAGCATCCAAAGGGGTGCGGGTGGGTGGGGGTGGGGGGCGACCACAAGCATGCATGGGTGCGTGGGTGCGTGGGTGTGGGTGGGTGCATGACAGGACAGCGGGCCTCTCTGGGCCGGCCCCTCTGGTCTGGCTCGGGTCCATAGCCCAGCCCGGCCCAGCCTCCATACTCCATACCACCCCCCGCGCAAGCCTTGGGCCAGCGGCTCCGTCAAACTAAACTAACCGGAACTGACAGAGTAATCAAACTCGGTGAAACACAATCACAGGCCACCGCTTTTGATGTGGCCCCCTCCTTCCACTTTTCGGATCATTTCTAATCCGTCCCACGGATGCATACAACGTGGCCGGTGGCCGGTGAGGGGATCAGGGCGGAGATGCGGAGCGGAGGGAGGGGGAGAGAGGGGGTGGCCCGGGACGGGGCAGAAAGTCCGCCTCGAACCACCCCCCTCGGCTCCCTCCCAGCATCGTCGGGGATGATACCTTTTGTCAACGTCCCCCCACCTCCTGCCCCGCAGTGCCCCCGGTGGCGGCGGTGTGCGCCGTGTGCGCGCCGCCGGCGCGACTGTTTGAACACGGCATGAGCGCGACGGGGCTTAACTCCCCGCCGGCCAGACCGGGGGCGCACGTACACCGCATTCGTCTTAAGCCTCGCCCCGCCCCGCCAGCCAGGCACTCGGACCTCGCCCCGCCCTCCGCCCCGCCCTCCGCCCCGCTCTGCGCTACCACTACACACACTACGACCCCCGACATTTTTCGTCCGGGATTTTTTTTTTTTTTTTTCGTCGCGCGCGCGGGCGGGAAAAAAAGGACGAAATAAATTGCACTACTTTTACACGTCGTGGCAGGGCGGGGGCGGGGGTGCGGTGCCATAGCAAGAGCATGGCAGAGTAAGAGCGCCACGGCCGTTATCACCGAGTGCCCGGCCCGCCCCGCCCGGCCTGGCCTGGCGCGCGAGATAATAATAGTAAAAAGCGTTGGATAAACGCGGCTATGTTTAGCCTAGCCCAGCCCACCGTCTCTAGCGAGCGCGGCGGCGGGGGCAGGCAGGCGGCGCGGAACGAACACAGCGAGCGCGGCAGAGGGCGACCCGGTGGCTCCCCTGGAGCGGAGCACGACGCTAATTTAATTGCCAACCCCTCTGCCACGCCACGCCACGCCTGGCCACGCCACGCCTGGCCACGCCACGCCACGCCACGCCACGCCACGCCACGCCACGCCACGCCACGCCACGCCAGGACACGACACGACCACCCAATGGGACCGCACCGTATCCTGTTCGCTGCTGCTAATTATCGGCGTCAGCAGACGTCCTCCTGCTGTCTGCTGCTCTCCCGGGTGGGTGTGGGAGAACCGAACACCGAACGGCTGTCACAATACACCACTATAAAAACATCCCATATTATGTTTGTTATTGAACGTTAAAAGAAAACTGCCGCGCGTTCCTATATATGAAAGGGGAGGAAAATAATGAAAGGTGGAGAATGCCATATGTGCTGGGGCTAGAGAGTGAAAAAATAACGCGATTTCGCCTCTGGTTTCGCCCTTCTGCGCTTTCCGGCGCGAAAACCGAGACGCAGCAGGTAATATGAGCATACACAACTTCGAATAACCGGGTCGGGCCGAGCCGAGTCGAGCCAAACCGAACCGGAACGACCGGAACAAAGTCGGAGCCGAGCCGGAACCACCGCCGCGCAGAACAAAGGCCGAGCCGAGCCGGCGCTCGCGGGGGCGGCGTGAAGGCGCCGCGACCTCCTTCGGAACGCCGGGCAGGGCGCCGTGTCCGCGACCCCCACCGCGGCATTCCCTGCTTCGTTTCGGATTCCGGATACTGCTCCGGAATCTCTCCCGCACTGGTCCGTCTGTCTTTTGTTGCTGTCCTTATTCTTAGCCTGTCGGTCTGGCCAGCTTGGCTGCTACTCTGTTAATGCTTCCCGTATTTTGGTTTATAACTGTTAGGGGCTGTTATGAAAGGAGTCAGACAGTCAGTCAGTCAGACTGTCTCTCTGTCTGTCTGTCTGTCTGTCTGTCTGTCTGTCAGTGTCAGTGTCAGCCATAGTGTCAGCCATAGTGTCAGTGTCAGTCAGTGTCAATCAGCCAGATTTTTTTCTTTCAGTCCGCCCGTCCATATGTCTGTTCATTTGTTCGTCCGTCCGCCGTCTGTTGTACAACCGTCAGTATTTCAGTCCATCCCCGGTACGTCTGTCCGCCCGCCCCGTCCGCAGGGCCCCGCCCGCCCCGCGCCGGCGTTGGAGCAACACAAAGAGGCGGCCGCGCTAACGTAACAATTCTATAGAGGCAGCTGCCTGCGCCCCCATTGTGGCCGCCCGCCGGGACATAATAGGGCGGGGCGGGTATGAAGGGAAGGCCACCAGGTGACGTCGTACAATAGACGACAAAAATGCTACCCGCCGATAAAGCATTCATATCAGAAACGCACGACGATGTCGCGTGAAAGGGGTGTCTTTCATCGACCATTATTGAGACGCAGAATAAGCAGAGAGAGACCGAGGGAGAAGCAGTAGAATGTTCCGGACGTCTATGTGGCGGGACCCCGTCTAGAGTTTCGTCAAAAATATGAGGTCATTGACTCTGGACTTCCTGTAAAAATAACAGAAATAACAAGCAGGATGTATGTACAAAGCCGCTACAGATGAAAGGGGGCTTTGATAAGGAAAGGGGAAACATAAGAATAGACAAAAGAGAGGGCAAACCACCACCGCAACTTTCAAGGCTTTTCTTTCTTTTTGTTTTCTGAGGGAAAATTGAATGAGAACGTTAACGTGCTGGCAGCCTAATTATGAGAAGGGGGGGCGAAGGCCTCCGCCGCGCCAGTCTGACGCGACAGGTGTACGGAGAAGGGCTTAGGGCTCGACGAGTTAGGCCCTGCAGCTGCAGCCACTAATGAGGACGCCTACCCCTCTCTCTTGTACCCCTCCCCCTTCCAACCCAACCGGGGATGATACCTTTTGTCAACGTCCCCCCAACTAACGTTACCGGGGTAACGTTTCTTGACGCGACCACACCAGGTAACGTTTGGTGATGCAACCAGTTTGTGATTGCCTTATCCTTTTGCATGG